AGCTACAGGTGATAGAGCTCTACAAGGAAGTGCTGGGTCCAGAGCATCCACACACTCTGACCAGCATGGCTAATCTGGCATCAACATACCGGGATCAGGGACAATTAAAGGAAGCAGAAGAGCTGGAGCTACAGGTGATAGAGCTCTACAAGGAAGTGCTGGGGCCAGAGCATCCACACACTCTGACCAGCATGCATAATCTGGCATCAACATACCAGGATCAGGGACGATGGAAGGAAGCAGAAGAGCTGCAGCTACAGGTGATGGAGCTCCGCAAGCCAGTGCTGGGTCCAGAGCATCCAGACACTTTGAGCAGCATGCACAACCTGGCCTATACATGGAAACTACTAGGAAAGGTCCAAGGTGCCTTAGCTCTGATGGAAAAGTGTGCAGAGCTCCGCTGCAACTTGTTAGGCCCAGATCACCCACAGGCCATATCCTCCTCTAACGCTCTCAGAGACTGGGAAGAGCGGTGAATCCCCTATCAAGGAGGCTAATAGAGGAAACTTCAGCGGTAATATCTTCTACCTTGCCGATCCATAGTAATCTTCCCAACCAGATGAACTCAAGCTCTAAACCTGTTACAGGCGGTAAAAGATGGGCATTAAAAAGGGGTTTCGGGAGAAAATGATCTACGTTACGCCTTTTACTGCGGCTAGTTTAAGCATGCATTTATCCTGGTTTATATATCAACTAGGGATACATCCATCTATATATCCAATAGAATGGACGTGGTCTTCTTCAGTCCTAGGTTCTGGCGGTCACGCTTCAAAATCAATGAGGAACGAGGCTTTCTCTATCGTGCTGTGAGGCAGTCTCCTAGAACAACAGATGATGTTGTCTGGCAATATCTGTATCATAGTACGTGCACGCTCTTTAGGAACGACAGGCTTAATAATACGCTCAAAATGTGGGAGACTTTTCGATGGTTAAGAAATACATACCTCAGAAAGGGCATCGCGCAGACACCGCTCCTGGGCTTTCAAGGTAGAGCCTTGCAGCATTACCACAGCACACGGTTAGCAGGGACAAAGGTCGAAACTGCGAAAATACTCCCCAAGCTCGCAAAGGTCGCGCTATCCATCCTATGTGAGAACAGTGACCGATATACACACATCACTGGGCTTGAATTCTATAATCAAGACGGGTCCTGCGAATCTATCGACTGTAAGACCCCTGGTGCTAGGATTATAACGGAAAAGGATATGGCCTCGCGAATTCAATACCGACAACTGAGTGGCTATTCATCCATGAGTGGCCAGATAGAGCTCTATCCACTTCAGGAGTTCTATCGATCACCGGGGTTCCACGTATTAATGGATGCGACATCACTGGTAGGATTTCAGATAGCGAAGACACCGAACGGCATCCATGAGCTTCTCCTGATGCACCAGAGGCGGTCATTAAATCTAGGCTTCTGCTAGGACTACTCTGAGTGTCATTCAAAAAGACTGCATATGGTAAAGTTGACATCTGTTGTCGCTACGTCTGACGTATGTGTATGTTGATTTCCCTCCAATCCCTTTTGAATGACCGGCCCCTTTGCCTACAAGCTACAGCTATCGCTGATACTGCCCGGTAACGGCAGGCAAGAAAGATATTAGATCTCGGCATCAGAGGGCGTTTCAGGGATGATTACCTCATGCAGCGGTCGGAACAGGTGAGAGGAGTTGAATGGTAATTCAGTGCTACACGAGGAAGATTGTTGAATATGAACCATAAAGCTACTTACTTCACCAGCTATTACTACACTACATCTAGTTAATTCCTTCATATATACGCAGCAGCCCATCAAGGAATGACTAAGAGCAACAATGAAAAAAGAGAGCTAGTAGCATCCCCCGAAGCACGCATGTACTTGTTGATTAGTATCCATTCCTAAGTCCCCCGTGGCAAACGTAAAGTAAATTACCACCAGGCAAGATAGGCCTTTAAGACATATTGTTACAACCTGACCATTCCTGATAATATTATCTCCAGCATATTACACTCAGTAGGCCTTTGCTCAATGTAACTCCATGCATGGGCATCTGGATAACGGCAAGTTCTGGCAATAGCAATACTGATCAGATCGATCTGTTAAACCACCCATGGTTCCACGGACCAACCATTAGGCTCCTACCTATTGCGGATTTGACATCCATTTAATTTCAGTATTTAGGCTTTGACCATCCGGGATATCCGCAGCCCTATTGTGTCTCAGTACGTCTCTAACCAGAGTTTGGACCTCACGTAAGACTAAGGCCTCCAGCTTCTTCTTGTGAGTACCAAATTAGTTCATGGGCACCTAATCAGGTGGTGACGGAGATCTCCGAATAGACTGTTTCTAAGAGCCTGGTATATGCAGAACCCCGCTTCGGCTTTCTTATTTTACGTCAGACGTAGCCTATGCTTTAGGCATCTCAGCCGTTTCCAGCTGGGATTATGGTCCGCCCTGGGGCGTAGCCAAACTGAAGATGGCCGAGGCTGACCTGGTATAAAACATAAAGCTCCTAAAAGATGATGTCAGATTAAATGTATACCATGGGTCTTGTGCGTTACGACACGGGGTCGCCGTGTTGACCATCAGCAATTGCTATATAATGACCGGTTAATTCAAATAAGGATGCATCTAACAAGAAATACTTTATTGGAATCACTCAAGGAATAGTCCCACATTCACCACGCTTCAATTGGCAATTGCATTATATATCGTTATACATTATGGCAGAGACACATAGCAAGAACAGAACCATGCGGTCGGTCGTTTTTGATGGCCAGCCGTTCGAGGTTTATGTCCGTGATATCCCGAAGGCAAAGGTCGTCAGGCGAACGGATGCCGTGGTTCAGGTCACTTCAGCAGCTATCTGCGGCTCTGACCTGCACAACTACCACGGCGTCTTTGGTAGCGACCAGGTGCCTTATTCTATTGGGCATGAGGCCATGGGTATCGTCGAGGAAGTTGGAGCAGATGTTGCATCCGTGAAGATTGGGGATCGCGTCATTATACCTGACTTCCCTGATGACGTCGGGCTGGATCTAGAACCAACGATTAACCCTGCAGTGGCATTGTATGGAGAAGGCCATCGATTTGGTGATTTGGGAGGTTGCCAAGGTATGGTTGAGTACTGCAGAATCATCCTTTATTATCTCTTGAGAAACGAAACATGAGTCATTATTGAAAAAAAAAATACATATTTCTAACTGACAAACGCCATTTTCAATAGCCGAATTTGTGCGTGTCCCACTCGCGGACAAGTCCTTGATTGGTCTCGGTAAGGAATTCGATGGAATCAAGGATGAAGATCTAGTTCTTCTTTCAGACATCTTCCCTACTGCCTGGGCGGGAGTCACTTGGTCGGGCTTCGAGGCTGGAGATACGATCGCTATTTTTGGGGCAGGCCCAGTCGGACTACTAGCGGCTTATTCGGCAATTCTCCGTGGAGCCTCTCGAGTGTATTCCATCGACTCTGTTGAAGATCGACTGGAACTCGCAGCTTCTATTGGAGCCATTCCGATCAACTTCACGAAGGGCGAACCGTCGGCGCAGATTCTCGCCCGGGAACCAGGTGGCGTTCAGCGCACCGTAGACTGTGTTGGGGAGGAATGCGTCAACGAGAACTTGAAGCCCGATCAGTCCTTTGTTACCACACAGGCAATCAAGTGCACCAGTGTGGGTGGTGGCTTAGCGGTTATTGGGGTACACTTTGCTCAACCGAATTCCCAAGGAGTTCAACGAGGAGACACCATTTCACCATCGATCACCTTTCCCATGACGCTCTTCTGGGAAAAGAACATGACGATTCGTGGTGGAGCAGTGGACAGCAAATTATATGTTAAGCCACTGCTGGAACTGGTGAAAAGTGGCAGAGCTAAACCGGGCTTCGTCTTCTCCAGCATTATTGATATCGAAGAGGCGCCAAAGGCCTATCGACGGTTTTCTGATCATTTAGAGACGAAAGTCATGATCAGGTTCTCCTAGAAGAATATACCCTAGTACCTGCGGGATGAAGGGTACTCTCCAGATCCGGGGGTCTGATTGCCCCCTATTTGATATTTCTGTATGTTTCCATTATCAGGCTCCGTCCACATCGCCGCAGAACCTCACCTTCACAACACACTCCGGGAATTTGACCGACGCATTGTTGGGGGTAGTACAGCAGGAAATAGGGTGAGGTTCCGGGGAAAAGGCCAGAGGACCACGATAGTATAAATTGCACAACTATAAGGAAGCTTACATTGTGATATAGGCTTGAGAAAATACAATAAACTCCAACCCTAACAACGTACTGCCGTAGTAAGGGCTTTAAAGAGGCATTTACAAAAGTGGCTTAGTATATCCTATATAAGGGTGCCCAAAAGTATTCAAGTGTATAAACATTTGCGCCAATATTGCAACCAACTGTAGGAAATACTCTATACTGTCTTCCCAGGAGCATACCTTGATACAATCTAAGGAGACGTCAGAAATCGTCGACCGAGGACGTGAAAACGGGAAGCAGGCCGAAATCTGGACTAGCGATTATTTAAGGGGGATCTCATTTCTATGATCGCACTTAGACGAACCAATCAACCTCTCCAGGGTTTATCTAATGTAAATATATTCCTGTGCAAGCGCATTGTCTCGAATATATTCAGAGATCATGAGGGTAGTCCTCTAGGTATCTGACATTCAAACTATGGTTGTCTACGGTGTGCCTTCGCCAATACATCTCGTTGTCCACCGGCTCGTTGCAGTAGTTACAGTGACGATCATCCAGATGCACGGCTCGGAAGTGTCGTAACAGATCCTTGTGGCAGGAGTACTGCTTGAGACGCCGATTGTTATATCCTGCGGGGTTTCTATAGCACTGAAAGTACGCTCGGGGCTTTGCTGCAGTTCGGATGTCTTTACCAGCCCCCTGCAAAGCAATTTCATGCCGTAAGGGTGACGGGGTAAGAAGGGGGGATTCGGTTGGCGCAATAACCTTTTCTCTGGGTAGGCTATGCTTTCGGGGTTCTTTTACTGGAATAGTCTATTTGGGCCGTCGGCCTCGTCGCGGGCCACCTTCTAGAATATCATAATAGAGTCAAACTGCTTCGGTAGCCTCGTTTCGCCGCTGCCACTTTGCTTCCATTGATAAGGAGGTAGGCCAAGTCATGAGTTTACCCAGCAGGTGAATCTGCTGTGGAAGGAGTTACTCTTTAATTTGGAGCTGCTCCTTAGCCTCTTTATCTAGAATAGCGGTGTCCGCCAGTTGCCGCTTAATATCAAGGACCGCCTGCTCTTCATCAAATTCCTTTCACATACGTTGGCGGAGCGTATATAACAGTCGATTCCGCGTGTTTGTGACTTCCCGTTTTAGTTTGTCAAGCTTATTGAGCTTCCGGCCAGTCTTTTTCTGACTGCGCTGAAGCTTTTTGGAGAACGTATCCCGTTTCCGAATTGCTTTCTGCAGCTCTGGATCGTGCTCCACCGTGGTCTTCTGCGTATCAGTGAGCTCTCGAGGCCGACGTCGGTCAATCCATCGTCCCATCCTAGTGACTGCCCTCATCATGGCCGAATCTGGCTTGAGTCCTCTTATCAACGCCTGCATATCAGTGTTGATTCGCCGAGGAAGGTAATGATTCAGGAATGTTCGGATGTTCGCGTGCTTCATGATCAAGTTCTGTTTAGCGTCGCTAATAAGACCTAGCAGTCCCAACCGTTTTAAATCAGTATCGTATGACGGAAGGACGGACAAGATGGTATATACCACCACAACTTACCGCTTTCATTTAGAATGGTGCCGCCACCGTACCGGAACCGATGCGTGAACAATGACCACTTGAAGCCGGTGATCTTCCCAAAGATCTTGAGCTGTCGAGACAGGGTACTTTGGGAGATAGGCTGATCGCGATGTACCTGAATCTTGCCGTGGTCGCATTTGACCTTATAGAATATATAGTGTTTAGCCTTGTCCCGTTTCAATGGGACCTCCATCTGCTGGTAGTTATCTTCCACTTACAAGCGTCGCAGGTCCTCCATGGACTTTGTTCCCGGAGCTCGAAATGCATTATTATGAAAGAGAATCCCGAGAAGGAACGTATGAGGGCTTAGCATCAACGATGGATCATAAATAATTTCGGGGAGGGGGAAGGTATTACTGATGGGCCAATTAGCAACGGGAATTCTAACGGGAAGAGCTGCGGAAAGAAGCAGGAAGCTACATACGCTTGCGTCACCCTCATGTATTTCTTCGCAAATTTATACTTGATCTCCAGAAGGATTCGGGGCGGTCCACCATGAGGATCCCGTTGGATCGAACACTGCAGATGCTGGTACTGAAGAAGACGCATGGCATTGATCCGATTTACCGTGAAGCACGCCATTAGAGGGTAGAGATATTGCTGCATGCGCTGAAGACCAAGATCGAACCGTTTCTCCATTGTACGTAGTGTTGTCTCCTACAGTGGCACCACGTCTTCAATAAACATCGGGGTCTTTTCTTTTTTATCCGTATTTAATTCATGCTCCCTTGCAATCCTGCGAATACTCTGGGGCAGAAACAGGTTAGCAACTCATCTAGAATCGGGGTTGGGATTGATCCTAACCTTTCTAATTCGCCTTCCGAGCGCATCATCCATGGGTTCCCTGGTAACTTTTTTATAGTGACGGAGGAATGACTTCCAATCGGTATCCAAAGACTTGAATTTCTTGATACCCTTTAGCTTCCGGCCATTCTTCCCTCGCCGCAAACATAGGCACCAACAAAGGAACAGAGTCAACTCCTTTTTCCTTGCTTCGCGAAGAGCCGAAGCAGGGTTCGCCCACAAGGAATCTGGTAGCGCCCTGTAATTTTTTATTCCTCTTTCGGCAATACCTGATCGTTTATTAGCTCGTTCCAAAAGCCTCACTGCGACCGTCGGGGTTGTAGGCCTACCGTTCCCATCTCTCGTCCATCCGCGTAATGTTTCTTCTGGGGTCTTTAACCTCCCTCCCGCTCACCTCGACGTCTTCCGCTCTACTCCTTCGAGGCGTCGAGACGAGCGCCGCACGCCTTGAACAGGTGCTTAATTACCGGGATCCCCGGACGCATGTCACCGCCGCCCAACTCCGTCCCAGAGCCTGTGGGTATCAACCTTATGACACACGATCCCTGGAACTCACCACTTGTAGACATCCCCCCTTGCTGACACTCCCCTAGGGACCTACCCGACGTAAGTCAGGATGCCTCCCAAGTGGCCGGCACCGCCGGTCACGACGACGCACATTTCCGAAGCTGTATTCCTTGTTCGCGAGCACTGCCGACGCGTGGGTGCCTTTACTCAGGAGAACCCCAAATACCGCGCCACCGCCCAGTATCTAGACGAGGTGATGGGGGTCGTGGACGACCTGCTTGACCGAATCCAGCACAAGAACATGACGACGAACCGACACGACGCCCAAGCAACCCGAGCCCATATTCAACATATCCACAAGCTCCTCAAGCAGACACGACCCCCAGCAGGGGCCTCCAAGGGACCGATCCAACCGCCCCCCGCGCCCCCTTCAGACAGTGTCCCAGCCGAGGACACCACTGCGGAGCATGACCAGTGGGACGCCCACCGGATCCGGATCCGGTAAGTCTCCGTGACACCGCCGTACCGCTGCTGGGCGCCCGCCCCTCTGTGCCAGACAATACAAGCCGCGATCGACAAGACTGCACTAAAGGGGACGCAGGTCCGGGCCGCGCGGATCCATCCCAGCGGAGACATCGACCTCTACACCAACAGCCCAGAGGATTATGACCGGTTGGTCCAACACCAGGAGACGTGGACGCGGCTGCTCCCGCACCACAAACGTATCCAGGTGGTCAGCAACCAATTCACAATCCTGGTCCACGGGGTCCCGCGGGACTGGTTCTCCAGGCAAAGCCTGGTAAACGGCGAGGCCGGCGAGGCCATCCTCAAAGACAATGCTACCAAGGTGCCGGACGCGTGCATCCTACACGTGGATTAGGCGGGGAGCAAGACCGTAGGAAAAAAGCCGAAGGGGTCCCTGATAGTCAGCCTCCACCGCGCCGAGGACGCCAACCGGCTGCTGCGGGGTCCATTCTACCTGCGGAGCCAGACCCTTCGGACAGAGCTGTTCGACCCTAGAGGACGCCTGACGCAGTGCTTGCAATGCCAGCGTTATGGACACGTCCAGCGCGGCTGCACCTTCTCCACCCGATGCCTGTTCTGCGGTGAACAACACCGGAAAGCTGACTGTCCCCAAATCAAGGTAACCCCCGATCGTTTTACATGCGCCAACTGCAAGGGCCCCCATCTTGCCTACGACAAGGCGTGTCCCACACGCCTCCAAGCGGCCGCCGAGGCCGACCATGCCAGGAAACACAAGCCAAAGTACTTCCCTGAACCCGCGCGGCCGGTGACGTCCCCATTTATCGGACCACTGCCGCCGACGCCTAACCTCAGCGGGGACTCTGACCAGCCGGAACCAGACCCCGCGGAGCCCGATCCTGCCGACCCCGCGGAGCCTGACACAGGGCGGCAGAAACCCAAAAGACTGGTGGAGACGAACCTCCCGACTACCCCGACGCCGCTGCCAGAAGGCGCGCAGGTGACGCGGAGCCTCCGCCGGCGGGCCATCACCCACGCCCACGAGGTCCGCCTGGCCAGCTCGGCCGTGTCAGACCACTCAGAAAGCACCGAGCCGGGGTCAGACGCAACAGAAGCACCGGAGACCTCGAGTTCCGAGTCATGCGAGTCTGACCAGCCCGAGCGATCCGACACAGACGCGCCGTCGGCCCCGGAGAACTCAGGGTCGGACACGGACACCAATCTAGATATCCCAGGCCGGGACGCGGTCCAGCAGTCCTCAGCCTCGGACACCGATACCCGGCCTGAGCAGCAGACGTCCATGTCCCCGTTCAGCAGCCCAAAGAAACGACGGTCAACACGTCTCCTGGAGGAGCCGGCCAAGCGACGCAAGACCACAGGCCCGAGAGTTATACCCCAACCGACGCCCGAGCAGCGGCCAAAGACCCGTGCTGGCTGGACCCCGAAACGGAAGGCCGAGCACGCGGGACGCATGGCAGCGCTGGGATTGACCGGTAACCGAAGACCGCTGACCAGCGCGCAGCACACCCCACGGAATGCCCAGGAGGGGCAAGGGGAGCAAACGGGGCCGTCCGACGGAGACGTCCCCAGCCCCGCCCCCGGCCGACCCCGATCCACCAGGAACGCTGCGCGTTCTACAGTATAACGTGGAGAAGTCGATCGACAACGCGATGGCGGCGCTGCTCCGCGATGTTCAGATCCTGGAATACGACGTGCTCGCGATCCAGGAGCCCTGGGTCTGCTCGTTTGCCGACACTACCCACTTCCCGCGCGAGTGTAAGGACCACTACGATCTGGTCTGGCCGTCGATCGTACGACCGGCGGTTCCGCGCGTCTGCACGTACGTCCGGAAAGATCTGAAGTACACACCGATCTACTGGGACCAGCATGCCCTAACAGTGTCGATCGAAACCGGGCACGGCGTCAGGATATTTATCCACAATGTCTACAACCCGCCCGAGACCCTCGCTAACCCGGGCGTCACCAGCCTACGGGCCGCCCTGGACACAGCCGACACCGTCCCCGGCGAAGGGCAACATATAATCTGCGGCGACTTCAATATCCACGACCCCCTGTGGAGCCGCCACCAATCCACCGCCCAGAACAACAGCGCACGCGCGGGGGACCTGAAATCGCTGATCGAGGAACGACCCCTGGTGGTGGTCACCCCCCACGGGCTGGTCACGCGGCCGGTCCAGCGGACCAAGAACTCGAGGAACCGCGCAGAGCCAGGCGACGCACGAAGCACCGACACCGCGGCCCCGGTGGAGGTCACGCCCAAGCTGGGGTCCACGCTGGACCTGTGCCTCACGTCGTGGGAGCTGGAAGCGCAGATACGCCATATACGTGCGGTCAGCCATCTAGGCGGGATCTCCGACCACCTGCCGGTGGAGGTGGAGATCAACACCAACCTAGTTAAGAAGCCTCCGGCGCCGAAAAGAAATTGGAGAAACATGGACGTCGCAAAGCTCCGCGACCACGTCAGATACACAATCCCCAAGGCCATGGCCCAGGACCTGGACGACACCACCAGCCAGGTAGTCAAGTGCCTGCAGGAAGCGATCGACGCGTCCACCCCCTGGGCCAGGCCGACCGAGCTGTCAAGACCGGGGTTCACCACGGAATGCAGGGATCTCCAAAGGGAGGCGAAGCAGGCGCACCGAGCGATCCTCAAGTATCACACCAAGCACCGGACCACGGCCCCAGAGTGGCTCTGGGACGACTTTATACGTAAAAAACGGACGGCCCGCAAGACCATCCAGAAATTCCGACAGATCGCCCACCACGAACGGGTTACTCAAGCCGCTGGGGATATGAGCCAGATCTGGCGACTATCCCGGTGGGCCAAGAACCGCACCGTCTACCAGGCGTATACACCACCGCTGCAGGGGCCAAACGAGCTCCAATTTATGCCGGAAGAAAAGGCAAAACTCCTGTCCCAGGTTTTCTTTCCACCGCCACCAGCCGCGAGCCTCGACGACATCGAAAACTACAGATACCCGGAGCCACTGCGGAACCCCGATATCACCCAAGGCGAGGTGCTGCAGTCAATCAACAGGCCAGGGGCGGACAAGGCCCCGGGCCCGGACGACATCATCAACCGGGTCCTCCAGGCTACGGCAGATCTACTCGCGCCAATCCTGGCCGACATCTACAACGAGGCACTGCGGCAGGGTTATTGCCCGGCACACTTTCGCAAGGTGCGCACCGTGGCCCTGCGCAAACCAGGAAAGGACGACTACTCTAAACCAAAATCCTACCGACCCATCGCGCTTTTAAATACAATCGCAAAGGTGCTCGAAGGAATCCTGGCTCTACGGCTGTCATACTTCGCAGAAGAATATAAACTACTCCCGGACAACCACTTCGGGGGACGCAAAGGGCAAGGCACCGAGACGGCGCTCCACACAGTCACCGAAATCATCAGCAGCGCGTGGAAACGGGGCCTGACCGCGTCGGCGCTGCTGCTAGACATCTCGGGGGCTTTCGACAACGTGTCCCACGAACGGCTCCTGCACAACCTACGTAAACGGCGGATCCCGACCGCAATCGTCAACTGGATGGCCTCATTCCTCAGGGAACGCTATACCACGCTGGAGCTGCCAGAAATCACCTGCCCGGAGTCGATGGTAGACACGGGAATCCCCCAGGGGTCACCTCTGTCCCCGATCCTCTACCTCTTCTACAACACAGACATGATGGAGGCGAACGCAGAAACAACGAATATTGGATACATTGACGACACTACCATGATTGCGGTAGGCCGGTCGCCGGCGGAGAACTGCCGGGCACTGCGAAGGGCCTTTCTCAACACCTGCGAACCATGGTCACAGACGCACGCCTCGGTCTTTGCCCCGGAAAAGTTCGCGCTGGTCCATTTCCAACCAAAGGACACCGAACGATCGCGGGAGCCCCTGGACCTGGGTCGCGGGCGCGTGGTAGCCCCCAGCGATACGGCCAAGCTCCTCGGGGTCGTGCTGGATAGGCACCTCGACTTTCAGGCGCACCTGCAGCAGATCGACGCCAAGTGCAGTAAAGGACTGCAGGCCATCACGTCGCTAGGCCGGTCAAAATGGGGCCTGTCTCTAGAAGACAAGCGGCAGGTGTACAACGCGTGCGTGGCACCTGTGGCGCTTTACGGGGCCTCCGTCTGGCAGCACCCACGGGTCCACAAGAGGAAAGGCATGCACGACAGACAGTTGCGCGCACTTAACGCGATTCAGAGACGGGCGGGACACGGCATCTCAGGGGGCTTCAAGGCAGTCAGCGGGGACGCGTTCGACGCGGAGCTCCACCTATTGCCGATGGCCCAGCGGCTCCGAAGAAGTCGCCTGACCACGCTGACCAGAATTGCCACGACCCCCGCATACCGGCGAATCCTCAGGCTACGCGCCTTCAGCCGGGACCAGGGTCTACACTCCGCGTTGGAGGTGGCCGAGGAGGAGCTCCAGCTAAGAGCCAACATCGACGCCTCGCGGATGGAGGTCAGAAC